CCTCCGGATGTCGGAAAGATGCTGTCTTCAGTTCAGCAATGTCAGAAATGAAGTGAACTGGAGGGCACAGATGCCATTATCAGTGGCAGCAGGAGGCTCAACACAGCCACCTGTGACCTGAAGAGTCCCCTTCCCCACAGGTACCTCCACTCGGGCAAAGCTGATGTTTGAATGCACTGTGAGGAATTTCAGGATGGTTGAGCTTTGCAAAAAATGAGAGCTTCGGTATTTAGACGAATGACTTAAATGGGAAAAGCAGGGATTCTCTGCATGTGGTAAGGGCTTTCTCACCTAGGGTGAACATGACTCAGGACTAGAGTCCCTGTCCATCAATAGCCACCAGTTTCTGGATCATTTGTCTCAAGAACTAGAAGAATGGATTGCACAGAAAACAAGTGGTGAGTTTTTTAGAAAGGAATGTTATTATAGAACAAAGCCTAAGAGGAAGGAAACAGGCAGGGCTCCTACACAGCGGGAGGGTCTCGAGGAAGGCTCACCACTGAGGGTCTTTGTCTAAGGGTTAATAAGACTTTCCTGACTAGAGGCATAGGGAGGTGAGTTGGTTGGTCCAGCTGGTCTACCTGGTGGTTGATGACCCTCCGCCTCTGTGTCCTCGTGGCTAGACTGGGGCTTTGGAGACAGCTTCAAAGCCAATGAAGTCTCTGGTTACAAATCCAGGAAGCTATATCCATTAGGTTTCTATGTTTAAAAAAAAAGAGAACAAGAAATCAGAACACAAGCCAGTACCCCTAAACATTTCTGTCGTTTATGGCTCCTAGACAAGACAGAACTGCTTGTAGAGAGATGAAGCAGAAGTTGTCATTTCTCAGGAACCCACTCTAGCTGCCTGACAAGCTTCCTGCTCCCATTGTCTTCAGAGTGACACAGAGAAGAGCACAGCCAGAGGGATTCTGGCTTTTGAAAGTCGCTCTGAGGTGTCTCTCCAGTGTGTGCCTGCCTCCCAAGTCCTGGGATTGAAGGTGTGCACCACCATCGCCTGGTTCTTCAGTTACATTCTTTAAAAGATGTCATTTACAACAACGTATAAATATTAAGCAAAGCTTAAATTTTGAGTAAAATAAAATTTAAGTAAAAGTTGTGTACAGATATATGTTCTTTCTTATTCTTCTTTTTTGTTTGTTTGTTTTGTTTTTTGAGACAGGGTTTCTCTGTGTAACTTTGTAGGCCAGGCTGGCCTCAGACTCACAGAGATCCTCCTACCTCTCCTCCCGAGTGCTGGGACTAAAAGTTGTGCCACCAGTGCCCGACCCAGATTTATTTTCTTAAAGAACTTTGGGCAGATGCAAATGTAACGTGGTTCTATAAGATGTGCAGCTTAAATGTTTAGACAGGGGTGGGAGAGGGCACTGACATTAGAACTCAGGGTTACAAACATTGTAACCATGTATAAGATCTCATTAGGAAAACACTATGTCTGAAGGCAATCTCTGCTTTATCTAAACTTTAAAGTTTGTAACCATGTGTAAGATCTCATTAGGAAAACACTATGCATGAAGGCAATCTCTGCTTTATCTAAACTTTAAAGTTTCTCCACTCAGACAGAAAGACAGGCAATCTAGATCCTGGGTACCCGCTTTCAGTCCTTTAGTTTTCTCTGTCTTTCCACCCTGCCTCACCTTTGGCTTGATTAGTTTGCTAGAGCAGCTCATAGAACTTGAAGAAACACATATACTGTTTGTGACAGAGGATATTACAAAGAGGTCCTAGTCACTGTTCTATTGTTGTGAAGGGGCATCATGACCAAGGCAATTCTTATTTTAAAAAAAAAAAGGCACTTCTCCTTGAGTTCGAGGCCGGGCTGGACTGACAGCCTCTAAAACAATACAGAGAAACCCTGTCTTGTAAAAACCAAAAAAAAAAAAAAAAAAAAGAAAAAAAAAAAAGAAAAGAAGAGAAAAGAAAGGCACTTAATCAGGGGCTTGCTTACAGTTTCAGAGGTTTGATCCATAATCATCATGGTGGGGAGCATGCGGGCACGCAGGCAGGTGCTGGAGCAGTAGCTGTGAAACCTCAAAGCCCAACCCCAGTGACACTTTCTCCAGCAAGGCCACGCCTCCTAATCCTTCTCAAGTAGTACCGCTCCCTGGTGACCAAGTGTCTTAGATAGGGTTTTCATTGCTGTGAAAAGACACCATGACCATGGCAACTCTTATAAATTAAAACATTTAATTGGGGGTGGTTTGCTTACGGTTTCAGAGGTTCAGCCTATTATAATAATGGTGAGGAGCCTGGCAGCATGCAGGCAGACATGGTGCTGGAGAAGGAGCTGAGAGTCCTTCATCTTTCAGGCAACAGGAAGTTGACTGAGACACTGGGCAGTATCCTGAGCATAGGAAACCTCAAAGCTGCCCCCACAATGACACACTTTCTCCAACAAGGCCATACCCACTCCAACAAAGCCACACCTCCCAATAGTGTCACTCCCTATGAGATTATGGGGACAATTACATCCAAACTGCCACATTAAGCATTCAAATACATGAGCTTATGGGGGCCATTCTCATTCAAACAACCACAAAAGGCTACGTGGAAAGCCATGAAAGAGATGCTTATAGGTGTGTGAGAGGAACACAGAGCTTATGTACCCTTTCCAGGAACCCCTACTTCCTCAGCTAGTCAGAAACCTCTTATATTAGTCCTTTTGAAATTTTATTATGCAGCTGTAATTGATAACATTATCAATTACATTACATTATAGATTTATCAATCTAATCTGCCTCTGGTCTCTCAGGCTGACATTCCCAACCCTTTTATCTCATCACATCAGCATATAAAAGATTCTCATTACAACAGAGAGTTCAAGTATTTTAATAACTATTTACAGGGCAGGGGTGGGGGACCAGAAATGTCCCGCGCTACCGTCTCGCCAGCAAGAACGACGCAGAACACTCGGATCCTTCTGCAGTAAAGCTTTAATGCATCTTGAGAGATAGATGATCAGCTTCTTAGAGGGAGACCCCAAGCTAAGAAACCCAGCCCCTTATATAAGCCTAGGAGCTCCGAGTGAGATGTGTAGAGCCGGGATTGGTGGTTTGCACATCACCCCAGATGACGTCACGGGAGAGGCACAGTTTAAACGGTTAACTCCAACTGACAGCGACAGTTAACTCCAACTGACAGCGACAGTTAACTCTAACTGACAGCGACAGTTAACTCCAACTGACAGCGACAGTTAACTCCAACTGACAGCGACAGTTAACTCCAACTGACAGTGGATGTCAGCGCCATCTTCTAACGGCAATAGCGATAGCGAGGGCGGCTCCTCACACAGAAAGAATGTTTTTTAAAACGATTTTGTTATTTCCTTGCGTGTATGTGCCTGAGGAGGTCACATCTGGAGCTGGAGTTACAGACTGTTGTGGTGAGTGCTGGGAATCAAATTCACGTCCTCTTCAAGAACAATACATGCTCTTCACCACTGAGCCATCTCTCCAGTCCCAAGTTTATATTTCAAAAGATAGTTTGCTAAACTGGACGTGGCTGTGCACACCAAGTTCAAAGCCAACATAGAGAGTTCCAGGATATCAAGGACCACATAGACAGAGAGAGACCCTGTCTCACAAAAAAATCAAACAAACAAAAAGAGTAACAAAAATGATTTTGATAAAACATCCATTTGAGAGTTGGAGTCAGGATTAAAGTGCTTTGGGGAACAGTGTGGCACCATTGGGTCTGACTATGGTGGGGTTCATTACCATCCTGAAGTTTGTGATTAGAGATGGTAGAGTGAGCTTGCCTAGAACCCTGATCTCCAGAGGCTGCAACTGGAGAATTGCTATAAGTTTGAGAATACTCTGAACTGCATAAGGAACACCAGGCCAGGCAAAACTACACAGTGAAACACTGTCCCAATCAACCACAAAAAAAAGCCTGTAGACCAAATTCTAGCTTGCTCTAGAATCATCTGGAAGGTGGTTAAACAATATGCTCAACCATCTCCCAAGTGTGAGTACGAGGCCTGACTCCCCTTCCCCGGTTAAAAAGATCCAAAAACTGGAGAGATTAGGCTTGCTGTGCAAGTTTGAGAACCTGAGTTTGGATCCCCAGAACCCACCTTAAAAGCTGGGCACAGCAGCACACACCTGTAATCTTTGTGCTTGGAGAAGCAAAGACAAAAGGGGATTCTGAAGCTCACTGACAAGCTGGTGATGCCAAGCTGGTGAGTTCTGGGTTCAGTGAGAGACCCTGTCTCCAAAACTAAGGTGTAGAGTCATGGGAGAAGACGTCAGATGTCAACCTCTAGCCTCTACATGGTCATGCACACAAACATTCACATTTCTGCACAGCACACACATACAGGGACCAGAACTTGGGTACAGAGGGCTGGAAGGGTACCCCACATTAGTGGGGGTTTTTTTGAGGTCTTCTCTTCTTTTTCTCACAAGCATTGGGAATCACTTATTCTCCCCCATCTGTCAATTCCTTGAAACTTAGGGGTTTGTCTCAGAAGGAGCTGGCCAGCCCCTCTCCTTAGAAATCCCCTCTTGGTTCCCAGGATTGAGAGAAGGGAAAGATGGAAGGGGGCTGTTCCAGCCCAGGCTCCCTCCAGATGTTCTTCTGACCTAGGCATTAGATTTGAGAAAATGGGCAATACTTGTAGACCCAGGTGGTTGAGTCACAGGGGCCTGAGGTGTAGGATAGGGGTCCTGGACCCTGTCCTTAGGAACCTTCCTTTCCATTTCTGCTTGTCAACTCGTACCCCACCCTAACCAACACTTCTGACATGAGCCTGACAATGCCAGTAGCGCTAACAGAGGAAAGCACACGCCCTCTCCCTGGAGCTGACAGGATACAGCATTATTTATTTTTTAATTTTTTGGCCAGACTGTTGAAGTTCTCAGAGCTAAAGCCAAAGAAAGCAGAGGGGGAAGCCACTGAGGGGGGGGGGGGAGAAAGAAGCCAAGGTCATGTTTTGCCAAAAGAGAACAAGGGGGCAGAGGGGGTAAACGGGAAGACCCACATGGGCCACGGAGGGGAAATTTTGGATAGAAAGTGAAAGCTCAGGGCATAAATTGGAGCTGGTGGCAACCTCACACAGCCTCACATCCTCTTGTCTCTGGACCTCACAGAACATTAGGACGCCTGCTTCCCATCACTCCACGGCACACCCCACAGATCCTCAGCCTCTCAGATTCCTGCACACACACAAGAACTCTCAGGCTTACACGCTCTCTGTGGCCTGCCTCAGATCAGTCTCCATGGCACTCCGGGTGGCCCCACTACTGGCCTTCAGCCTGCTGGTTCTCGGGACCTTCCTAGGTAAGGCTGAGGAGGTAACTGAGGTGGGGTGGCAATGTAGGTAGTGTCTCCATCTCAGACCTGTTAAAATGGTCGTGAAAGACCCTGCGAGTTCAGGGTCAGCAGATCTAGGGCTCCCTATGCCTTCTGTGTGTGCCTGTCAGCATGAGTGCCTGTACCCAGAATTCCAGCGTGGCTCCACTCCTGGTGTACCCTGGGCCTGTGTCTTCCCCTCTCTCTGCGGGTCTCATGTGTGGGTGCCTGTTTGTAGGCAGCAGAAGGAAGGGACAGTATGTCTTGCGTCAGGGACCTACGGACATGACTACGTTGGAGTGCTTGTCTTGTGAATGAAAGCCTGGTTTCAACCCCTCCACTGGGGTTGTGAATTAGAGCTTCGTTGTGTATCTGCTTCAGCTTGAAAGAATAAGAAACACTGAAGCCGGCGTGCTTAACAGCTTTTTTTTTCCCCCTTTCTGCTGTCCCTTTCCAGGGGGCTTGTTCATTGGTTTGGTTTGGTTTTTGAGATAGGGTCTGTGGGTGTTACCCAGGCTGGCTGCAAAGTCCTGGAGCCAAATGATTCTTATGTCTCAGTCTCCCCAGTAGCTGGGACTCTAGGTGCAGCGGCCATCTGCTGGCAATGTGGCAATTCATAAAACTGAAGTCCTCGGCCACGGCAAGCCTCCCCGGTCCCGGTATTCTGACTACATTAGCTATTTGCTAAACCATGGTGAAAACTGAGACAATCTGGGAGAGGGTTGTGACCAGGGCAGCAAGAAGGCATCCGTGAGCCATACCGAAATGGTTATTTATTAGACGGCTTAGAAGATAGAAGACTGCCTGTTCATGAATCGATAGGGCCACAGTGGCACACACCGGCTTACCCAGAGATGCTGCTGAAGTCACTGAGGGCTTCCGGCCTTCCTTCCTCACGGGCTCCATGTCTTCTCCCCTTCTTTCTCCTATCTCAGCCCCAGCTCTTGGGGGTGCTAACGATGCTGAAGATTGCTGCCTGTCTGTGACCCAGCGCCCCATTCCTGGGAACATCGTGAAAGCCTTTCGCTACCTTCTTATCAAGGACGGATGCAGGGTGCCTGCCGTTGTGTGAGTTGTGGGAAGAATGTCTAGCCCCACCCGTCTCCCCCGTCAGCCCTTGGTGACACCACCGCTGCCTTATCCCCTGCACTGATAGCTGAGGCCACCTTTCAATCAGTCGGGAACGGTTCCCACACATAGCCTCCAAGCCTCTAGGAAATGGGTTCCAGGACTTATTCCCCTGACCTGTGACTGCAGGTTCACCACACTAAGAGGCTACCAGCTCTGCGCACCCCCAGACCAGCCTTGGGTAGAACGCATCATCCGGAGACTGAAGAAGTCCTCTGCCAAGGCAAGCCTGACCCTCCTCACCCCTGCCTCCATCCTCCAAACCCCTGTCCAAGATTCCAGCCCATGACCCTGCTTCTCCTTCCTCCCCTTAGAGCAACCGCAACAGGAGTTAACCATGGCAGCACCCGAGGGAGCCCTGTGTCTTGAGCAAAGGGATATGAATCTTCCTGGCCCAAGGAACCAAGGACCAGGCCTCCCGATGCTCTGCTCCAGACCTGACCCAGCCAGGGCTGTGCCTAGAGAATCAATGTGAATGTGAGTGTGAACGAGATTGTGAACAAGCCCAGCCTCTCCGTGGCTAGACTGCAGTGCTTCCAATAAAGCTGTTTGGTACCCATGGATGTGTCTGTCTGTTCACTCTCTCCCCAGGAGGACAGGAATAGGAGGGAGGAGATGGAATGGCAGGATGTATTTTGCACCCTGGGTGCTGAGCAATCTGTTTGCAGGCCTCCACCTAAGCCCTGGCGCTTCCAGAACCAGCCCCACAGTTAAGAACCCAGCTCATGTTTCCCCAGTCCATCAGGCTCTGTATTCAGCTACACAAAACTTGCATCACCTTGCTGAACAAAGTCCCCAAGAAACTTCAGACCTTTCTGTCTTTGCCGTCCAGACAGGTGTTTTAAGTATCCAGGCGTCTTGGGGATGAGGAGTAGGGGAACTTTGGTGGGGATGAGAGGAGGGGCAGAGGGCATGGCTTTAATGTCCAGGAGAATTTACGTTGCTCCCTGTAGCACTCTTCTCGCTCCTCTGCGCTACTGGCTTCCCTTCTCGGTATGGATGTCTCCTCCTCCAGAAAGTCATCCTTGACTCAGACTGGGTTAGGTAGCTTTGCTTCCTTTCAAATTCCCATGGCTCTGCATCTGGTTTTCACCTACACCTACACACATACACACACACACACACACACACACACACACACACACACACACACACACACAGAGGGGGGGAATTCATTACAATATCATTACAATAACCTATTTTGCTAGTTCGTATCTGTGTTGGTTTCCAACAGATCACTTGGTACAAGATAGTCAATAAACATTTGCTTAGAGAATGAACAAATATGAGAAAAAGGGGTCAGCAACCATGGAGGGTAGCCCCGCCTTCCAAAGCATCCATCCTAAATCTGACCTCCCGACCAGCTCTCCTGTCTCAGATAGTCTGAGCAGGGTCCAGCCCCATCAGAGCAATCCTGGAGCCAGATATCAAAGACTGGGAACCAAGGATCAGGAAACAGACCCCATGGGGTAGAAGAAAAAGCAACCAAGGACCCTTGCAAGATCCAGCATAGAAGAGCATCATAGACACGCGCGCACGCACACACACACACACACACCACCACCACCACCACCACCACCAACAACAACAACAATGTTACACACAGGCAACATTGAATCTTAGGGAAAGAGCCTTGTCTGCAGGACAAAGGCCCTGTGTGTCTTAGAGCAGCCCACAGCAATGCTCTGTGCCTGGGAAACTTATAGGGTGTGACCTCCAAGGGCCTATCCAGAGGAGAGTGGTGAATCTGAGTTGCTAGGGTCAGACAGATTCCCTTTCCCTTGTCTGGGAAGAGAAGTCATCATTATATCAGAAATGCATCAGCCAGTAGCCAAGAAGTTGTAGTGAGGTCCTGTGCTCCCCCATCCCTCTCCAGTTCGCAGGCATCCCTAACTTTGCTGTCCAGACAGGTGTTCAAGCATCCAGGTGTCTGAGAGATCAAGTGTCAGAGAGAGACACTTCAGAAGTGAAGAGGAGGGGCAGAAGGCCTAGAACTGGCTGTGTGGCAGCTCTTCTTCCACAGACAGGTGCTCAAAACCTCAAGTATTGCAGGTATCAGAGTCACGAGGGTGGTTTCCAGAACAGCTGCTATGGCCAGAAAATTGTTCTTACTGCCTGAGGTAAATTACCCAGAAATTCATGCATCCATGCCTATAGCTGACCTCCATCCATCCACCACCCCACACCCACTTCCCATGGACCAATCCATTAATCTATCTGTAGAGTCACCCAGCCATGGAGCACCCTGCCTCCCACAGACAAAAGACAAATACATATGGGGTGGGAGATGGTTCCTTGGATCTTGCTCAGGTCTCAGGGGGAACTGAGAAGTCAGCTTGCCTTGTAAGCAGACATAAACCCTGCCTCTGTGCCTCAGCCTCAGAGAGGCATAAAGACTGAGAAGAAGCAATCGCAGAAGTCCTTCCAGGTGCTACAGGACAGAGGGCCTTGGGCCTTGTCTCCGTGTCACTGGCATTGGAAGGTTAAGGAGTGAATCCTGACCCCAGTGTCTGGGCGGGCCTCACAACCCTGTCTCCACCCTATCACTGAGTGACTCTGGGCAAGTTCCCACCACATTCTCCAGCCCAGGGCTTCAGTGCCCTGTGTCTGATAGCAGGGAAGGGCCTGATTGTTGAGTCCTTACTAAGACTTGACTGGTGGATCTTCAGATCTCAGACTATACCTTCAACTTAGTACCGGATACCCCAACATATCCAGAAATGTTCCCGCTTCTTAGGTCCCCAGGAGGCTCCTGCTAAGGAAGAAAGGAAATCCAGGAGCTGGTGGATGCTTTATATCAAGCAGTCTCCTGCTTGACTAGGGAAGCCTGGGAAATTAAGGATTTGGGGAGTGAACACCCCATAAGAAACAGGTATATAACCTTCCACTCCTCCAGGTTAGCTTCTGCTTCCCACACTCAACCTGGAATGGCCACCCCCGTCTTTAGCACTGGGTCTTATTCTCTTATCTCTCTAGAAATCAGGGGCTTCTCCCTCCTGCTCAAACCTTCCCAGCACGGCGACTCCATCTGTCTCCAGTCTGTCTAGATTTCACTGGTGAGAATTGCCTACTTGCCTGTCTCTGACAATGGCCAAGATGCTAGCTCTCTGACAGGAAGCACGGACTCCTAGCTTTCCTAGCACATGGAGGTCTTTTGTGTGCCTCTACATGGACAGCCTCCTCCCTGGGGCGTAGAGCACTTGCTACAGGCTCAAGGCCTAAAGCAGGTAGATATCTTCTTCCATAAAGGACCATGATCCCTGGAGGACCAGAGTCCCTGAATGCCCATAGTCCCTGAAACTAATAGCTCCCCAAAGTACCTAATATCCATGCTCAGGGAGCACCCATCCTTTTCAGATAAAGTTTCCTGCCATTAATGTCTGCTGAGAATTCCCCCGGGGAAGAGACTGAGCCATGTCCACATCCACTGCCAACACTGCTTCACACAGCTAGCACCGAATAAGCCCCAACATGTATTTGATTACCAAAATCATTAAATTGAGCATTGTCCTTTCCTCCCACACACACACAGCACACACGCACACACACACACACATACACACACAGCACACACACACCACACAGCACACACACACACATACACACACAGCACACATACACATACACACACACCACACAGCACACATACACACACACCAGACAGCACACACACAGCACACACACACACACACACAGAGCACACATCCAGTTCTCAAGGCAGTTGGAGCTGTCGCTATTGTGGGATTGCATGTTTGGCCAGAAGCAACTCCATACGGTTTTGATAATCTCATGTTCAACTTCTCGGCAAGCCCCCACCCCATGGCACCCCCTTCTTCTACCCTCCGGGAAATTAAGAATCAGCAGAAAGTCTTGGAAATAGTTTCACAAAGGAGCAAGATTTCCAACTGGGGAGTTTCCTCCAAGAACAGGCATTTCTCTAGACGCCACAGTTCCTTGATGCCCTCTCCCCGAGACTTTGTCTGCATGGATAGGCATGACTCTGTAGTAATAACTAATTCATCACTGGAACTTTCTAGGAGCTGGGCACTGCTGCGGGTAATAAGGTCAGCCTCATGCTGTAAGTGAAAAAAAAAAATGAGGAATAGAGGGAGGCGACTTGCCCAAGCCAGACAGCTAGGAAAATGGCAGAGCTGGGGTTCCAGCAGGGCAGTTTGGTTCCAGAATGCAGCTACACATACCACCTTTCTGAATTGTCCCATAGACAAAATGGAGAGCGTGGTGGGGCCAAATCTAAAGGTTTGTGTATCCTCAAATAGCCTAGGAGGTAGGTATCGTTGCTGCCGTTTCACGTATGAGAAAATTGCAGCACAGAGAAGCAGAGTGTCCTCTCAAGTCCACAAAAGCGGCAAGTCGCATAGCTGGGACTGAAGCCAAGTTTGCCTGATCGGTGCTTGAACTGAGAGTCAGAGGGCTGCGCTGTCTAGGGGGGGAGGAGGGGGGTAGAGCGGCCTTGGCATGCTAGGAAGAGCTGAATGGGATAAACAACAAGGAATGAAGCTGGAAGGCTCAGGCAGGGACTGAACTCAGAAATAGAAATGGCCTCTGGAGAGCACCCAGCCTCTTGACACTCTCCAGCAGAAGGGCGGTGAGATTCTCCAGAGCTGCAAAGAGGAAACCCGCAGGCATTGCAGGCATCACAGGCATAGGCTTTCCTAACACCCCACAATGGAACGTGGGACTAGCGGCAGTTCTCGGCCAGCGTCTCCGTGTCCCCAAGGAATAAGAGGAGTGAGACCAGGACCGGTGATGCTAAAAGGAAGGGAAAATGTAAGGGCGGAGCTGGGGGTTTCAGAGGACTAGGGGGGTTCTGTGTTTGTTGCTTCTAGAAAGGGGCAGGACCAGCCCTCTGATTGGCCAGGGACCAAGGGCCTCTGTGCTAACCGGCCAGGACCCAGTCTGAAGAAGGAGTATTTGGTGGTGGCAGTGAAGTGAAGTCCCCTGAAAGACACATTTACAAGGACGACTTCTATTTCCCGGAGGGTTTCAAGCAGGCAGGAAGAGAACAGATTGCAGGAGGAACCTCTGAGGACCAGGGAGACCTTACCCTGTTCACCCTGTTCCTGTGCCTAGAACATCGGGGTCTTTCCTCTGACTCCAGTGGGAAGAAAACATGAGCTATCCTGGTCTCCAACCTGGTAGAGATGGGAAACCTTTTAATACACAAGCAATGACATTGTCGTTCAAGGTCAATCGGCTCCCCCGAGTTTTGGCTCTCAGAAGTGTGAGCCTGTCCATCAGCACCTTGGTCATGGCGATCACGTGGCCATCTTCCCCAAAAGAAAGTCAGCCTTTCCTATCAGTATCCCAAAGCTGCAAAGATCTCAGCAATTTGAGAACACCCACCCTTGACAAGTGTATCCACGTCAATGACAGGACCACCGTTAACGTTAAGTTCTCCCCATTATCACCAGGTCACCACTTCCCTCAGAAATCCTGACACCGTCAGAACACACAATCCTTACACGAAAGGACAGAAATGCTGTTCAGTTCCAGGGCCACCACTTTCTCTACAGCCCACACACGTGACACCTCCCAGTG